ACTACCCTATATCTAGTAATCTCTCGAAGGTTCGAGAGAAGGAGTGCCATGATAATAGTCACGTGATCTCGCTGACGCAACAGTACTGTTACGTCTCTGGTCGTTAGTTAATTACTCGTAAAAATTCTTTCCGAAGAACTTCAGTGATACAAGCCCTTTCTCAAATAAAACTAGTTTATTCTTTCTCAATTCAACTTTGCAATACACTTAATTTCCACTGTCCCTTTAACTTAACACATGCTATAATTCTCAACGAACGGTTCACGCACTTTACTTACTACTGTGCTTGACTCAATTGTCGGTCTATATCTTCAATCTCTCTGTCTGCTATTCAATTGTTGCCGTCACTTTATTTGCCGGCTTATATACTATAAGAGCACCATTCTAGCAACCGCTAGGACGTTCGACAAGTTCCTCGATCTTTCTAGATACTCATTACGTGTTACCAGCGCCACGTGACCTCCGCTGTCGTAACAGTACGAAGTACCTTCATATTAATTAAAACATTTCCAAGTACTGTAACTCCTATCAAGTTATATAGTACCAGGTAGCTGATATCAAATCATAAATTCCAACTAGTTCTATAATAATTCAAACAGTTTCAAGTACTGTAGGTGTCAGGTTTTTATACGGCCAGATTCTTTACAGTAGGTGTCTGTGACTTAAATTGTTGGTGTTAAATTTCAACCATAAATGGACAGCACACAATCCATTTGTTTTAAAATAATATATTCAAAACAAGTCAAACATATGTACAAAAATTTGTTACACTATTGGCTATTCCAGTTGTATCCAAAACTTTAAATAATTGTCTCTTTTTCGTCAAAGTCCACACAGGCAGGTTCAGTTAGTTTAGAACCCAATTGACAAGACGAATTATTCTTCTCTACTCTGTTTCTTACAATACAATCCGTGATTACAACACTTTAAAAGTCACCACTATACACTCTTTATGGTTAAACTTACAAACACAGTCTAGATCTGTATCTCTCACTAACTCTGTCTTACTTTCACTTTCAGTTACTTAACTTCTTTCTGTATCTACAATATTTATAACAAGCGAAAGAAAAGTCCTGAAATATCTAGCCCTCTAGTAACAATATTCACATAATGGGAAAACTTAGAAGCTTGGAGTAAGATGACGTCAACAATATTACAAAAACCGAGTACAACAATCAAACTGCATACACAATGTATGACTCGTACAGAGTTACCTAACTAAACTTGTCTTAACTATCACTTTTAGAATAATTAATTTTTAACACTCTTGTTATGAAAACTAAATAAAAATTAAATATTAAATCACTAAATAAATTAAATAATAACTCTTTAAAAGTTTTGTATATCCAACAATAACCCCTCTTCAAGAAAAATATTTACAATATTTTTTTACACAATATACAAAGACTGTTTTCAATTCATACACAAAGTATACTCATACATTTTGCACCAATATGATGGCCAGACACTCTTGTTTAACCACAAAGTAGTTCTTCTCACTACTCAACAGCTTTTTACTTACATTCATTACCGGAAACAGTCCTTCTTCATGTTCTTGTAGGAGTATTGCTCCAATGTCAATGCCTGAAGCATCAGCCTGAACTATGAACAATTTGTTGAAGTCTGGCATTCTAAGGATTGGTGAACTTCCCAACATGATCTTTAATTTCTGGAATGCCATCTGTTGTGGTTGTCCCCACTTCGCCTTGTTGGGTAGGCCTTTCTTGGTCAGGTCAGTCAATGGTGCAGCAACTTCAGCATAGTTTGGGATGAACTTCCTGTAGTATCCCACTAACCCCAAAAAGGATCTGATTTGCTACTTGGTTGTAAAAGCTGGTGCATCTTGCGTGTGGGTTAGCTTCTCCTCTTCCATGGCTATCTCTCAGTCGCTCACTGTCTGTCCAACAAACTCCAACACAGGATAGCTGATGTATCATTTAGATGGTCTGATGGTCAGACTTGCTGCCCTCAATTGTCTTATCAGCTCTCTAAATATCTTCAGGTGGTCTTCCCATCTGGTTGTGTGGGTCAGAATGTCATCCACATAATACTCGATGTTGGTGATGTTGTGCAACATGTCCCTCATCATGCAGTTGAATGTTGCTGCTGAGTTGACATCCCATCTCCACCAGGATCTGCCAATAATCTTTACTGAGGTCGATTTTTGATCAGCACTTGGCTTCATCTAGCTTTGTTATTATAGCCTTTGGGTTGCCCATAGGTTCAGAGCCAAACTTCATAATGAGGTTCAGCTTCCAACAGTCTATGCAGAAGCAGTTTGATTCATCTCTCTTCTTCATGAGTACCACTGGTGAATAGTAGGTTGAATTCGAAAGCTAGATTATTCCAGTTTCTAACATTGCCTCATCTTCCACGCTTTATCAAGTCTTTCATCGCATAGGGCATCTGATAAGCTTAACTTTGACTGGATCCTTGGTCGTGGTTATGATCTTGTGTTACACACAGTCTGTCTTCTCTAATCTATCTGTGATCACAGTAGATCTCATAGCTCTTTCTTCTGCTTGTCAGTCAGTTTTTCACTGATGTTCAAGTCTTTGTATGTCTCATCTCCACCCAGTGGTCTTAGGTCTAGTAGGTCATTAATCTTCTTTTAAAAAGTCATCATCTTCTGGTTCTGCATCTATGACAGTCATGCCTGCAACATTCATCTGAGTCTTAATACCTGTACTCATTATATTTCCTTCCCTCTTGAAGTACCTCTTCAACAGATTGGCATGGAAGATCTCACTTAATTTTTTTTGTCCACTTTCACCTTATAGTCCATTCTGCTGACCACTTCATATATTTCAAAAGGTCCTTTCCACTGCAGGGTGAGTTTGTTGTTGTCTGTGGGTAGCAGAACTAAGACTTCTGTCTGACCTTGAAACATCGATCCTCAGCCTTCTTGTCATAAAAGTGCTTTTGACTGCCTTGAGCTGCAAATAGTTCTCTTGAGCGAGTTGACAGATCTCCTCCAGTCAGTTTCTGAGGTCTAACACATACTGGTATGTGTACCTTACTTCTGACTCTTCTTTTCCTGTCCATAGCTCTTCTCTCTCTAGGTCTTGTTGTTGTTTAACAAGCTCTCATAGATCACCATCTTTGAGTGCAAGTTGCTCAGCTCTTGTAATCTCTATGCTATGTTTGCCACCACTACAGTTGTGCATCTATAGGCCAACTTCTGCTATCGTTCACAACTTCTTTTACCGACTTTTACCAGTGTATAATCCTGACTGGCTTGGCAGTTGGTAATATCAAATTATATAAAACCAAATAGTTTCATATTAAGTCGAACAGTTCCAAGTACTGTAGCTCATATCAAATCATATAAAAACCAAGTAGCTTCATCTTAAGTCATACAGTTCTAAGTACTCTAGCTCCTATCAAATGACATAGTACTAGGTAGTTTCTTATTGTCATACAATTCCAAGTACCGTAATTCATATCAAAGTATATAGTTCCAGGTACTGTAGCTCATATCAAATCATGTAGTACCAGGTAGTTTCTTATTGACATACAGTTCCAAGTTGCTCATGTCAAATCATATAGTTCAAAGTTATTAATACCTTAACCTATGATTTGGTCAATTTGAGTCTTAATGGCATGACTATGTTTTTCTGTGGTACAAATTGTGTTTGTTTCTTGTGGAAGAAAAGATATTATGTAAACCTTTAATAGCATTAAAGTTTCTGAGTGTCTCCAGCTAATCAGCAGAATGATGTAATATATAATTCTAAAGAGCCTTGACTGTCTTCTTGCTATGCCTTTGAAGCTAATTTATCTTTTTTTTAGTATTAACATATGTTATTTAGTCTAGCTGATAAGAAATAAATCCACACATGGATAGAAGAGGTGTTATAAAGCACATCTAAATCTCATCCACACTAGCATCTAGAAGTACAGATAAACTGGTCTTCCTTCTGAGACTGAGAGGTTGTGGTTTACTGTGTTATCAAGCTAAAGTTATGTTTAGCTAGTAGTCTCTCCCATATGACTGGGAATTGATTGTCAATAAAAAGTAATTCATGTAACAACTAAATTAGTAGACACCTTGAGGGTTTTTGTATCGTGTTTAAAAAGAATTAGATCAGTTAAGATATCCAGATGATGAGCCACTAATCAATCAGTGGCAGAAATAATTGCAACCAGGTTTCCTGACAGTATAAAAAACGTTATTGAAAAGTATTCAAATTCCATTGTCTTTTCTTTCCTCTGCCTATCACTAGTAGTACCACCCCAGTGCTAACTCATCCAACCAAGTGTGAAACCATCACAACACTGTCCATTCCAGTACATCCATGGCTTCTTCAGCTACTAAAGAGCTAGATGATCTCATGACCTCTCTTTCTCACTTTAAGGTAAGAACTTGGTGATAAGAGCAAGGTACTCTTTTTATTATTGTAAAATTAGTTTTTTATAGAATCTAAGGAAAACTGCACATAAGAGATCTTTAACAGACTACCCTTAATATATTTCTAATCTAATGGGACTAGAAACATTATTGCCAAAGTATAGAAGAGAATGAATGTGAGAATTGACTAACTTGTACTAGTTATGCTTCAAATATTTTTAATGTAGGATTAAGATTTGATATGAGATTATTTGTACCATCAGTGAGAAATCTTGTTTTGAAGTTTGAAAATTTTTTCTCTAGCTTCCAACAAAGAGATGTATACAGATTGATAATAATAATGAAGTTTTTGGTTACTTTCTAGACAATTAATAAATCTTAGTTATTTTATATATGCACATTACAATCTGGTTCTATGGCAACCTTAGTTACATGGTAAACTACTACTACCACAATTTAAACTTGAAGTTGTGGAGTCAAGTTATAGTTACCATATATATATATTCCCATTACAGTCTGATCATGTGCAATTTCATAATCAATTAATTTTCAGCTCATAAATCGATTTCATTCAACTAATGAATTTTTCTCATGTGAAACTTTGATAATTGGAATAATCAAAAAGAGTAATAGTTAGAAACATTAATTTCAATTAGTTAATTATTTTTGTGAGTCATGAAACGAACTGATCTGAAGGAATAATGAGAAATCATAACTGAAATATTTTGATTACATGGATAATTGAAATAATTGAAAACTGTAATAATCAGAAACACCAGTTTTGATTAATTGACTATTTACATGATATTAACTGATTTAATGATAATCTCTATTAAATGAGTATGTTATTTGACACTAATTGATGCTCATAGGTAATTGACTATATCATTTAATTGAGTTAATTGCTCAATTCTAGTTTTATGTTAACTTTAGTTACATATTAAACTACCATTAAATACAGAAATTGTTCCAGTGGGAAGTCATGCCTTAGTTACAAGGTAAACTAGCTGTTACAGATAGAACTTGAATCAGCAGGGAGCCAAGCCTTAGTTACATGGCAGGCTACTGTTACAGATAGTTTGTACTAGTTGGAAGGCAACCCTTAGTTACATGGTAAACTACTGTTACATATCGAATGTGTACAAGTGAGAAGTCAAACCTTGGTTACAAGGTAGACTGCTGTTATAGATAGAGCTTGTACCATTGGGAAGCCAAGCTTCAGTTATGTGGTAGACAACTGTTATAGATGGAACTAACCTAAATTTACTAAGCCAACTGAACTTTGGGAAATATCAGAATTACTGTCAAATATATTGTTAAAAGTTTGGTTGTTATTAAATAAGCACAGCTACAGAATGGGCTATCTGTGTTGTGCCCACCTTGGGTATTTAAGCCCAATTTTTAACATTCTGATCCCTCAGACTTACTTCTGAGCCTTTGGGGGCAACAGCAAAGATACACAACTGATGATTCTATACAGTATAATCATTATAGATCTTAGTTTCTTGTTGTTTTAAATTTCTAAAATTCAGTATTTCTAGACAGTTAGATATTCATGATTGCCTTTAACAATATGTTTGTTATGTTTAAATTATTTTATATCTGATACATATAGTTAACTTACTTTTGATTAAAAGTTCTTAATAAATACTTCAGCTGAATGACACCAGTCAGTCAAGTAGGGAAACAGCCTGTGTCAAGCCTCAAAAACCACCAAAGCAACCTTCTGCTGGACCAAATAACCAGTTAGATTCCATGTTAGGCTCTCTTCAGTGTGATATGAACAAACAAGGTGTCAATACTACAGCTAAGGGTCATTGTTCAGCTTGTAATAAGCCCATTGTTGGACAGGTATGGAATAATTTTATGAAGTAAAGAAACATGGACAAAAATGACATAATACTTTTTATATGTTATTATACAGTGGTAGACAGACTCAATGATTATTATTAAATCTATGGAACTTGCTAAATTCCAAAGTTACCTTTGTGTCACTAGGTACAGAGAAAACAAAATGTAACTTAAATTGGTCAGTGATTTTTCTCAACAACACGTACACTAAAACAGAAAATCATGGATAAAAGAGATGAAAATTTTACACTTATGAGAATTATACTGTACAATCTATTTCTAATTCATAACCCACTGGTAAAGATGTTTTTTAATTAATTATATTGTTTTGTGTAGACCTTAAGTACTTTCATTTATTAATAAATAAATCCATTAGCATATCAAGATCTTTGATTCTCAGTGTATACTGTGCTTACTTTTATCTTTATAACATATATTCAATAATATAGGAATGTATAAGCAGACATTTTTTATTTATGAGCATGTAAATCCACTGGCAGAGAAAACTGATATATAGTTTATTCTATAATAACTCCATACTGTATTAATATTTTGGTCAACATCTTATTTCTCTTACCACTAGTTTTCTTGCATGATATAAATAAAACATCAAACATAGAACTTGTACATAGCAATGGGGAGCCAAGCCTTAATAATATGGTTGCTTATTGATACAGATAGAACTTGTACCAGTGGGAAACCAAGCCTTAGTTACACAGTAAATTATTTTATTTCTGGTGCATATAATTAGCTTACTTTTAATTAGCAGTTCTTAATAAATATTTCAGCTGAATGACACCAGTTAGATGTGTGGGGAAACATTCTATGCCAAGCATCAAAAATCACTCAAGCAACCTTCTGCTGGTTCAAATAATCAGTTAGATTACATATTAGGCTCTCTCCACTATTATATGAACAAACAAGTGATCAATAGGACAGGTTCAGATCTTAAAATTGTTTTCTCTTGAAAAAAAGAAGAGGTAGAGGGGACCTGATTGAGGTGACAAAATTAATAAGGGAATTGATAATGTTGGTGATTACAAGACTATTTTGCAGGATGAATTTAAAAATGAAGAGCTACCCGAACATCTTCTAGACTGATATATTGTTGCGTCATCGAGGTCACGTGACTGGTGTGGCGCCCTCTAGT